AAATAGAAGCTGTGAGATTACAGCAGCAAGTGCATTGGCATCTGTCTCCTGGACAAAGGATGGGAGGTGGGATTTTACAATTTTAGAAATACAGACAGCCAGCGAATTGGTGTCAAGTAAGTATAAAAACTAGAACAAGTGATATATTAAAAGTAATTCTAGTTGTCAGTTACAATTCCATGACTTCAAACCTCGGTTTATTCGCCTCCTCGTCTACATTAGCAACAGGAGCCCATGCCAGTGCATCAGTGGCTCTGCTTTTCTTTCTATTTGAGCAGTGGGAGTGTGACATCTACTGGTGGATCCTTGCCATTTGCAGGTTAGTGTATACCCAAACGTTTTCCCAAAAAGAGTATTTTTTCCGTGACAGTAACTACACCCAGCACTCGCTGTCCACTGCAGCGCTTCCGTATCCCTGTCTTTCTTTGTAATTGAGAAGTGGGAATGCTGGACCTATTGGGTTATTTTTGCCATCTGCAGGTTGGTGTGTGTTCAGATGATGTATCAGCTTTTCAGAAAGCAAATTCAGTGTCTCTATAAAATTGAGTATCAGTAAGTATAAATGTCTTCAGGCACTGTCCTCATTGTTGCACTTCTCCCTACATTTCTCTGTCTCTCTCTCCCAACTAGTGTGCTACCTGCCTTCGTGGAGATGTTTCTGTTTATAGCTGTTTTTGGACTGAAGAAGAAGCCATTATGAAAGAAACTCCTGAAGCTACAAATGAGTATGGATGTGGACAACTGCCTCGCTGTATCAACAGACACTGTAGCTACAGAGGGTCTGTGATTCAATGATAATGTGCAGAGGAATGAACTGAAAAACGGTGTTTTACTGAGTTATGTGAACACAGTGCACCAACATACATCAAAGGGATATACAGGCCACTCTCTGTCTGTCGTTTTATATTTTTATACATTTAGGTTTTTATTAACCGTAAACATTGATGTGGTTTTATGTTTGCATGCTATCTGTCAAATTCCTATGGAAGGTCTCGAATGCTATTATAATGCCAAATACATTTTGTATAAATTATTTCTCAAACTGTTGATGGTCATCAATTATTTTTGCTATGAAACGATTTGGCATTTGTGTTTATTTTTGCCTCTCTGGGACATCTTTTTCACAGCATGTAGAAATACTGCTTTCTTCACCCAAATTAGCAGGCCCTCAAATGTAATACCCATTTACGCATTTGAAAGGTTGAGCTTTTGGTATAGTAAACAGCCTGAGCCTTTTTGTAAATGATGGAAAGCATCACATTAATGATTTTACAATATATTCATAAAAAAAATTATGCAGAGTTTCTATATGCTGTTTCCCTACAGCAAATGGGTATCCTATTTTTTTTTAAAAGCCACTAAATAGCCGAACGAAACCTTTTTGAAGATGCTAATGGTAATACACTCATTTGCAGTACAGGCTTTGCTATTATAGCAGGAATTCATGGTTTAATTTACGGTTCAAATGTGTCAGCAAACAAAATAAAGGGCTTTCATTATTGAATTTTCGATTGTGTACATGTAAAAAAAGTTAATATGAAAAATAAGAACCAGGTGTTACGAGACTTACAGGGCGTTTTATTCAGCAGATAAAATAAAAACAATACAAATCTAACCAGCACAACAACAGGTTCCTCTTGCCTCTCTCAAGACTCCGCCCACTGGTCCCACCTGTAATCTGGACCGGGTGGAGAGGGTTTTTAGTTCCTAGAGCCGGGGAAGTTAGCTGGCACAACCAAGTGCTTAATTCACCTCTGTTTCCTTACACGGACTCTAATTAAACATTGAAATATGGGTATGTATTGCATGATTATTTTATCATTCAAGTCAACTCAACAAGTGCGTTTGTATTCGAAGATACATTGTTTATTAGTGCCTAGTTCTGTGTTCTAGCTAGCTAGCTAACGTTAACGTTTAGAAATAGATGACTTTATTAGGAGCTATTTATTTAACGAATGCATTATTATACGTCTGCCATGAGTCACACTTTTTATTGCACTATGTATGTAGAGAGCTGCATCAGCCGTATACATTTGCTGCTACCCTCGGTTGTTTAGCTTATAGCTAGCAGCAATCTGACGGAAACATTTATGAACGAACACTGACGTGGCGTTACGTTATAACGAGTTCGATTATATTAGTGTTTTTACTAGCTGAAACGAACTAGTTTAGCAGTCAAAGCTATACTTCTGTACTCTACGTACTGTTTTCACTTTTGATTGTATTGTTATTACCTGTACTTTGTCTGCTATCAGAGAAAAATACAATCAGTTTAGCTGCAGCTGAAGTGTCCTGCCTCTTCCGGTGTATAACTCCAGCATACTTTTCCAATTATTTTTAGATAAGCCATTGTCTTCCTTGATTATTGTCTTAACATTTTTGTTTGAATTATTCCTCTTTGTCTTGTAGCAGTGAACACAGGCACCTCTCTAGTGCTGTCTAGTCTGCTGTCAGTGCTGGTATTTGCTGGCATGCAGATGTTCAGTAAGCAGCTGGGATCCACTGAGTGGCTCACCATCGTGGGGGGTTTCCTGGGCTCAGTCCTCTTCATCTGCTCCCTCACTGTATCCTATTGACCTGTTTCAATCCCTGTTGTCAATTACTAATCTGCAACAATCTTTATTACTTCATGCTTTGTTTAAATGTAACTTTTTGTAATCACCCAATACTATTGCAGCAAAAACGTACACCATTTCTCTGTGTTCCCTGTTTTCTGTATGCATGTACATACACAGATACCACTGAGGAGATTCCCCTTAACTTTATATCCAGGCATTTAATAATCTGGAAAATCTGATTTTTGGGAAGGGATTCCAAGCCAAGATATTCCCAGAGAGTAAGTAATGACAACACTTAAATCAGACTCCTGTCGTCACTCCAGTGTGTCTTTTTTCTATTTCTATTTTGCTGACATAATACATATCCAAATATTTCTCTTTTCATATATCCTAACTGGTTATGTATTATCTCTTCCAGTTCTGGTGTGCCTGTGCCTATCGCTGTTTGCCTCTGGACTGGTACACCGCGTCTGTGTCACCACATGGTATGTGACAATACCTCTGCAGATCACAAAGACCATAATCAGCTTTATAAAACACAGTTAAAAGTAGTCTCTAAATTAATTTGATTATATTGCTTTTTCTTCTTATTTCTCTTCCAGCCTGATATTCTCCCTCTTTGCCGTGTACTACATCAACAAAGTATCTGCTGCGCTCTACCAAGCCGCTGTTCCCGCGGTAACAGCAGCCAAGGCTGCCAGCAAGGGCAAAAGGAAGAACTGATGAATCTGTTGGATCCCACTTGCATCCAGTGAATCAGTTAATATTACCCAGGTGCTGATGGCCCAGTGCAACAAAGAAGTTGCACATTTTGTAGTATTGTCTTCAATCCATAACCCTTTGTGTATTTCAGCAGAATCTTTAAAGATTATTTGGAAAGCAACAAACAGTCCCATGACTTCAAGTCAGTCATAGTCCTTATTTTTTTTACAATGATCTCGTGCTTAGGGTCATAACAAAAAGCCAAATAGCTGTCAACATTCCATTGATAACCTTTTCCTTAGCACTCGTTTTACACTGATTGCAAAGAGATTGAAACATCCCAACCTGTGTATTCATCAGCACATCAAGTTGCTTCTTTTGTTTAATTCATTTTGTAATTAAACTCTAAAAAGACTTTTAAGGTGTTTTAATTTTGTCAAACCACATTTGTGCACTTAGAAAATGGCTGTGTATTTTATGTAGTTTAGTGTATGTATTCAGGTGGGTGTGATGATATCCTAAAACATCTGTGAGCTGACATGCTGTTTAAGAAAAGGCAGGGGAGGGAGAGACACATATTCAGTTTGTCTTGGTCTTCTGCCAACAGTGTTCCACAAAGTAACCATACCATCGATGCTTGATGATGATAAGTAAACCGGTTATGATTGTCATGTGTGTGAATGTGTAATGTCAGGACTGCCATGATTCACAAAAGTCTTAGAGTAATTGTATTATTACAAAATATAAATATGGAATGTGTAATTGTAATGCGCACAGGCTGACACAGCATATGGTTTAGTCTATCAAAAGTTCATGTTTTCACTGAGAATGCTAACTTGTGATTTGAAATGATATGGCCATGGTGGGGACAGTGTAACACCCTGGCATGTGGACAGGTAGTTACTTGTTGTCAGTGACTTCACTGTTTGCTCAAAGACAGGTAAGTGATGACGTTGAACATTGAAGTGATATTCTTTAGGGTGGTGAAAAGTACAACATGCCATCAATGCCAAAAGGTTAGACAAAATATTAGATTGACAAGATAAAATTAAAAAAGATGAAATCACTGAGGATCTCAAGTTATACTAAAGAACAATTCTAGTAAAGCTGCTCAGTTGCCATCAGACCGTAGGATGGTGCTTCTGGACTGTGAACAGGGCGTGCCTGATGAAGGATCTTCCTTAGATAAACTGAAGGCTTTAGATAGAGATGGTTAAAGACATCACTTTCTACCTTGTTTTAATCTATGTCATCACAAATTAATTCATGCGAGTTGGCTATTCGAAAGCAGAGGAGAACAAGTACGAGTATGTCTTTTTTAAATGCGTAATACCGTTATGTTGCCAATAACAGATCGAGACTCATGGCATGAGAGGCTCGGGCTTGTTCGTACACAGCATGTCCCAGCAAATATAGTATATGTGTGTGTCATTCAGCAGAACTGCTTCATTGCGCTGTGCTTTACCCACCTTAAACATGATTCAAACAACAACAACAACTTTGAATAACTGATTGTCTTACGCAGATTTCCTGATTTGGGAATTGGACTTGAACTTTTCTAAAGATAATATTATCTTGAAAAATCTAAAGGAAATATATATATGAACAGTAAGTAGCATTACTAGATGCATCTCTGTATTTCTTGTGGCGAGAGTTGTGGGAACACTTGGATAGTATTTGCTCATGGCTTTTTAAGTTAGCTCCCTCTTTCTCTCTGCCTCTTTCTCTCTGTCCCTCCCATCATATTGGGCGTTGCCCAGCGGACTATAAATTGTTGAACACATATCCAGTGAGCGTCTGCACTCTTCACTGACTCTCAAACTACACTTTCTGCCTCTTGATTTCCTGGTAAGTTTGTTTTAATTGCTCAAAAACGTACTTATCTGCTTCCACTGTTGTTCGTGTTCTTAAATTGCTAGTTTTGACGAAATCTCAAAATCTTTTATGAAGATTAAAGATTATTCTTCTCGGTCGCCCATGTCTTTTAAGGCTATGTTTAAATGTGGCTACATAAAACTATTTTTCTTTAAGTTTAGTCTGTTATTTCAACATATTTCATTGGTGAGCTTGGGCGTTGTTGGCGCTTTATGCACGACTTTCCTTTTTCTTTTTCGTCTATTCTTAAGATCTTCGGGGTTTTGTTTGTTTTTGGAACTCAGCCAGAAATGGTTCAATTGAAGGAAGGGGAGAGGAAGAGTGGGAGGCTTGAGATAAGGATTTTGGCTTATGTGCCAGAAAATATTGTCTAATGGTTGAAGAATTTGCTCTGAGTTCCAGTAAGACCAACGCCCACTTTTCCACTTACCAATATGTTAGTTTTGGCTTAAGTAACCTCAGTGGTGGACAAAAATTTAATATATTTGTCTAAGCAAAGGTAGCACACTGTAGAAATCCTCTGTTAGAAGTCCTGTATTCAAAATCCTAGTTAGAAGAACAGTAAGGACAATAACTCTTTTACTGAATGTATGTAAGTCGCTTTGGATAAAAGCGTCTAACAAATGACATGTAATGTAATGTAACTCTTAATGCAGAATAGCCCATTTCAGAATAATGCTGTATTGCCGAATTATAATAATTGATACATTAATATGAACATTACTATGGCGCAGCTGGAAAAGGGGTGTGGTTTTATTTTTCCATACTGCAGAGAAGTTGAACCAGGGATCAATACAGTCTTATATTTATCCATTATAACATCTTAAATTGTAATGAAGGGTGTGACGTAGCATAACATGTAATACTTAGTTAAAGTAGGCCTACAATGTAATTAAGTGTACTGCTTTACTGCAGTCTTATCCTTCATTGAAGTTCATGTGCAATGTCAAAATGTGTATCATCTTTCCTCCTTTCAGCCCACACTTCCGCAGCCATGACTGAATTAGAGAACTGCATGGAGAGTCTGATCAAGGTGTTCCACCGCTATTCTATTGAAGACGGTGATGCAAAGACCTTGAGCAAGAAAGAACTAAAAAAACTGATGGAGAATGAGTTGCCAACCTTTCTGAAGGTAAGAATCCTCTTCCTTATATCAAATCTCATCTATATCCCTGGTGTACTCCTATGTAACTGTACTCACTTTAACTTTGCACCCTGAACGTGTCTCTTTTGCTAATGTTTTTTCAGACCCAGCAGAACCCCAAAACTGTGGATTTCATTTTGAAAGATTTGGACCAAAACAAAGATGATAAGTTGGACTTTGAAGAGTTTCTTCCCCTTGTCGTCGGCCTCTCAATGGCTTGTGAGAAGTGTTACATGCTCCACGAAAAGAAGAAGACCAAGAAGTGATGGGAAAATATAAGGAAGAATTATGATGTTGAACGTTTTTAGAGTAGAACATGAATCACTAATGTGGGACATAATCCCCAAGTAAAAACCTTTTACAAGATGTTACCTCCTGTCTGTTTTTGAGCATGTCGTGAACAAAGCACTTTTCCAACCTTATTCATGGAATCTTTCTTATGGTTATACATGGAAAACATTACAGTCAAAAAGAGCTCTCCCAATGCCAGATACATATACCTCAGAAAGTCCAGAGAATATTGAGGAGTTCACATCTCAGATACATCATTTTAACCGTAAATATCAATGTTCCCTTGAGGCAGCAGATTTTATACAGTATTTAAATGGTTCAATACGGGAATGTGCTGTACTCAGATGTCTCAAGATGAACTTGGGTGCAGCACCACATTCCGTTATGGCATGAGTTAGGGTTTTGCAAGCATGCTTCTTTAATTTAGATTCCAAATTCATGATCCTGTTTCCTTTCTTGCACATTCTTTGGTTATATTTTTCACACACACACACACACACACACACACACACACACACACACACACTTAAATGGACGTCCTTGAAAACAACATTGCACCAACCAACACAGAATTCTAAAATAAGTATTATGGAGTAGCTAAAAGGAAGGTCAAATGGAATTGCACATCGACCATAGACCTTGTGTGAGGAGTATAAGGGAGATTTGAATAGCAGGTAATCGTGATCCAAGTTTTTCAAGGAAAGAATATTTCAAAGCCTTTGGTTAATGATTACAAAAACACTCTCTGTCTTTTCAGCCTGGTTCTTTGGAACGTTGGCATCACCAGCAGAGAGATCTCACTGTTGAACACACCCAGACTCTCAAATACATTTCAGAGGGAAGGAAACATGCCTTTAATTATTTTAGGTGTCACACCTGTGCTACAGTATCTCAATAACATTGTCATGAGAGTATGGCAAGAAAATAAATAAAAGCAGTATTTGTCACTTGGAGGAAAAGCACAGGTAAAAGTAATGATGGCTGAAGGCTGTTTAGCTGTTTTGATTGCAGGGTCTATAATGTGATAATGTGATCGTTACTGTTATAAGCGACACCGATGCTTTTCCAGAAACTTTTTTAATAGAATCGGTCATAAGTCATTTATAGGCCTTTAATAGGGCTAAATAATGAACTCATTAACATACCAATAAGTGGAAAGTGAACATACTTGATGAAATATTCAAAAAAAAATCTTTATAAATGATAAATAAGTATTCACTGTGATCTGGTGGGTCACGCTACATTTTTAAAAGGTATACAAAGCAGAATTTACCCTCACTTCTTTGTCAATAAAAACAGCATAAGCGACTTCTAAAATGACCTTACCTATCATATATGAGGGTAGAGTCACCAGCCCTTCTGTTAACATGCAAACAAGGAACTTATTTACAGGTCATAACATGAGCAGAGGTTAACGCTATTCCCCAGATCACAGTGAGTCATGTATCAGCAAATTACTTATTAATCAACAATAAATACTTTTGTAATGATTATTTCAGGATGAACTAAATGTTTCCACATGACATTTTTGGCTAAAAAATGTGACCTCTGTGTTGTGAGGTTGTCATTTAGGTTATCTTGATTTGATAGTAGTTTCATACTTCATCTCATATAAAAAAATGTTCTTCCATTTCTTCCCTTTTCCCAAATTTAAATGGCCTGCTCTTGACATTATATAGGTATATTTGTATACATGCCAGTGAATTAACTGTACCTGAGTATAATTGCCACAAGGTGTCAGTACTTTTACTTGATCATGTCACTCTTTCTATCCCTGTAAATGTATAAGTATAGTTTTCATCAATTATGTGAGAGGTCCAAGTAAGTAAGTATGTCACAATATATAATAAGAAGTTAGATATCAAAAAGACAGTTACAGCTAAATGTACTCAATATATTTCTGGCGAGGGGATAGTCACAACTCGTCTATCAGCCTTTAACATCACTGGGATTTGGTCGTTTAAGCTGGAAGTATGGACTTTATCACGCCACTAGATGTCAGAATACTCTTTTTTAAAAACAATCTTTTTAACTCAGATATTGCTCCACTGTTTTTTCTAATTCCACCTCTTGAGTTTTATAAGAAAATGCAGCTTAAGTCAAGGTTGTGTTATTTTAAGACACAAAACATCAGTTGAATGGACATCATACATAAAATATATTTTTTTTTACAGAGAGTGGTGTGTGCAGATGATGTATAGGATAGGAGTTGTTAGGAACACAGTGTTCCTAACAACTCCGATACATCCTATGCAGTGTCAGAGACTTATCTTGCTATCTGTCGCAATGTCTGTCTGTAAATGTGGAAAAGGCATTTTGGGTATGCTGTTTCTGTGGGTTGAAATAGTTGGTTAATGTTTTCAAAAGTACCTCCTTTTGTTTGTATATACTACAATGTAGAGAAACCTGTATACACATCTGGTAATTTTGAGAAATTCCATCCATTGCTGTATGATTCATGGCAATTATGTTTAAGTGTATATTTTACGACTTTTTGCTGTTGTTTTTTCACTTGCAAAGGTGGAGGCTTGCCTTTCTGCTTAACTGGTGGGTTTTATTTAAAATGAAGAGAGCCATAGCAGCATATAGATTGTAATAAATAATTTAGATTAAGTCTTGAAAACATTTACATCTGTGACTTAATGGTAAAACTAATATTTAGAAGGTAGTTCTAAGTTATTTGTCTTTCATTTAAGATCATGTGCTCATGTTCATGGTGCAGACTGCAGAGGTACAGAAAGGCTCCAACAGGGAAACTGTAACTCCAGCCAGCAGAGTGTGAAGAGATGAACTTTTTGTAATTAACACCACATGATCCTACGTCTCTTATTTTCTTTTCCTCCCCTGCAAGGAGAATCTGATCGTATTCAATAATTGAAAGTAATACGGCCAAAGTGAAGAGCAGACTGGTGCTGAATGGTTTAATCTAAAAGGGACTTGGCATGGGGCAAAACAGGTAAGAGAGGAGGGAAATGTTTCTCTTCTGCCGCCTGTGTACAGACGAGTGGAAAATGGAGGCTGAGTTTTGCAACAGTTCAGCAGGATGAGCGGGGAGTGGCTCCAGAAATCCAACATGTTAAAACAGACAGCCGAGGCACTCACATTGAGATACTTGAAGACTCTAATCAAGCAGATGTATGATTATGACTGCTGCCAAGTTTAAAACTGGCTCTCATAGCTCTTTTTCACTTCTTAACTTTTCAAGAGAAAGAGTTTTAAGAAAATAAAAGAAATCACTTTGTAGCTGCAGTAGAACTACAGGAATAATACTACTACTGTTGTTGTTCTGTTCTGTCATGTTCTTTGTGAGTTATATAATTGACTAAACTATACAACCATGACATCATTTGGTGGTTCCACACATTGCATATTGACAACAAATTAGCCTTAAATGAAGCATTTTTCTTTGATAGTTTTATCACTGCCGATATTTGCAAAACTTCTTAGATTTAGAAAAAAAAACTCCTGGGCAAACAGGAAATGGAGGCAAATTACGCACACACGCACGCACGCACGCACACACACACACACACACACACACACACACACACACACACACACACAGCTATGACTTCCCACTCACCACTTTGGGCAGGGTGCTGACTGTAACTTTCCATTCACTGACATATTTTCTCCAGAAGGCTTCACCGAGCAGCTCCTCAATGAAGAGCGTCGCTTTAGATTATCTACTCCCACTGTTCACCAATGCACACATACCCCCCTGCACACATACCCCCACAAACACACACATGTCAACATGGGTAACATTTGCTCTATAAAACATAAACATAAACACTGCCTTGTATTTATTATGGAAATACTCAGAGAAAGACATGGTAACACTATTTTGGTTGGAAAGGGGGAACATTTCCAGTGCATGAATCACTGCTGGTGTGGGTGTATTAGCCCCTGTGTGTGTGTGTGTGTGTGTGTGTGTGTG